AAAAAGCAGCCAGGCACGGTGGTGGGCACCTGTAATCCCTCAGCTACTCAGGAGGCTGAGGCAGGAGAATCGCTTGAACCCAGGAGGTAGAGGTTGTAGTGAGCTGAGATTGCACTACTGCACTCTAGCCTGGGTGACAAAGTGAGACTCTATCTAAAAAATAAACAAACAAGACCGGGCACTGTGGCTTATGCCTGTAATCCCAGCACTTTGGGAGGCCAAGGCAGGCAGATCATGAGGTCAGGCATTTAAAACCAGACTGGCCAACATGATGAAACCCATCTCTACTAAAAATACAAAAAAATTAGCCAGGTGTAGTGGTGCGTGCCTGTAATCCCAGCTACTCAGGAGGCTGAGGAAGGAGAATTGCTTGAACCCAGGAGATGGAGGTTGCACAGAGCCGAGATTTCGCCATTGCACCCCAGCCTGGGCAACAAATCGAGACTCCATCTGAAAAACAAAAACTAACAAACAAACACCCCCAAAAGTTAAATGCTGGATATTCTGATTCAATAGGTGTGGTGTAGGCTTGGCACAGTGGCCCATGCCTGCAATCCTAACACTTTGGGAGGCTGAGGTGGGAGGATCTCTTGAGCACAGGAGTTTGAGACTACAGTGAATTATGATCACACCACTGCACTTCAGCCAGGGCAACACAGTGAGACCCTGTCTTAAATAAATAAATAACTCTCATTTGAGAGGTACCCTCCATATACCCAGGGGAAATAAGTATTCTCATCTCTGAAGACACAGAGACACAGAAGAATCTGAACAAACAGGCCTTGCTAAGTTCCCCGTTTACCATTAGATTGTACCCTTTGTCCAACACTTCTGCACAACTCTCCACTCTTCATGAAACCAAAACATAAAAATACATAAGCTCACCGGTTTCTTTGGGTTCTCATTTCCTTATGAAGGCTCCCATGTCAAAGAAAATATATTTTAAAAATATGTATGCTTTGCTTTTGTCGATCTGTCTTTTGTCATAGGGGCCTCAGTCATGGACGTAGTGACGGGTGTGGAAGGCAATCTTTCCTCTCCTACACGAAAATATCTGTGGCTCTCACACTCAACACCCAGTCCTCCTCCTCCTCCTCCCTGGTCTATGGAACAGAGAGGAACAGGTTGCACATTACTTAACCAAATTTCAGAAGCTTAGTCACTTTTACTTTTAATAGATGCCAGCAGTTGGTGTTACCACCATGCTGATATAATGGCAGTCACCAAGGGTTCTAACAGCCTGTGTTCCATCTGACAAAACCCACCGCTGTGGATTGAGTCCGTTCAAGCTAATACAGTGGGAGAGGCATAGAAGAATGGAGTGCTAGGAACATAATGAAGAAAAGGTTACAGTGCATCATGCCCAAGATCTCAGTTTGCTGAGCTTCGAATTTTAGACTTGCCATCTGTTGATGCACCTTCTTCCACCTTAGTGAAGCAGTCAAGAGGTATTCATTTTTTCTTTTTAATGTCATGTGCAGTAATTTTCCTTTAACTGCTGGTTCCCCCGTACCACCCCAGGTTGAATCCTAGTTTGGGTGTTTGACTTACATGATAAATTGGTAGTTCTTAAAGACAACTCCCAAATATACTCAAGGAAAAGAAAATTACATGTATAGCTGTTTTTTTTTTTTTTTTTTTTTTTTTTGAGACGGAGTTTCACTCATGTTACCCAGGCTGGAGTGCAATGGCGCCATCTCGGCTCACCGCAACCTCCGCCTCCTGGGTTCAGGCAATTCTCCCGCCTCAGCCTCCGGAGTAACTGGGATTACAGGCACGCACCACCACGCCCAGCTAATTTTTTGTATTTTTAGTAGAGACGGGGTTTCACCATGTTGGCCAGGATGGTCTCGATCTCTTGACCTCGTGATCCATCCGCCTCAGCCTCCCAAAGTGCTGGGATTACAGGCTTGAGCCACCGCGCCCGGCCCATGTATAGCTGTTTTGAATAGATGTCCAGAAAATACCAACTTTCTCTGTGATTTGCCAAATTTCTACCAGTTTGATAACCCTGTGCTCTAGATGAGGTCATGGGCAAGCCACATTTGATAATAAACTAGGGCTTATCTGCTTTCTTCACACATGGAGAAAATCAACAAGTATACAAGTAGTTTTTTTTTTTTTTCTATTTTTTATAGAGATGGGATTTCACCATGTTGCCCAGGCTAGTCTCAAACTCCTGAGCTCAAGTGGTCTGACTGCCTCGGCCTCCCAAAGTGCTGGGATTACAGGCGAGAGCCACCACACCCAGCCCAGTCCTTTCTAACATTTAGTTACTAGAAATCTAGTTGTTGGCCAGATGTGGTGGCTCACACCTGTAATCCCAGCACTTTGGGAGGCCAACGCAGGAGGATCACTTGAGGCCAAGAGTTTGAGATCAGCTCCAGCAACGTAGCATGACCCTGATTTAAAAAGAAAAAAAAAGAAATCCAGTATATCTTGTCTCTATCTTCATTTCCTAACCCCAGTCTACCACCCTAGACTAAGCCACTATCTTTACCTTAACACAATATTATATACAATTACTCTATTCTTTTACCCTGCTACCTGAAAGCCAAAGTGAGCCTTGTAAATTTTAACTCATATAATGTATCTCTTCTGCTCAGAGCTCCAATGGTTTTCTTGAGGTCTGGTCTTCCTTCCTTGTGCATTCACGCTGCTCTACAACCCTTATATCTTCTTGGGTTAGCAAAGGGGCCACTTTGTTACCAGAACCTAGCACATTCCAAGACTGCTGTCTTGGCCTGGAATGGTCTGTCCTGATACCCACATGGCCTGCTTCCACACCTTCATTTGTTTTAAAATGTCACATTACAAGGACCTTCCTAGAAAAGTCCTCTTGCTCCACTCAATTGTTCTCCACACGTTAACAAACCCTAGGGCCCGCAGGCTACTAAAACATGCTTGTATTACACTTTAGCATCAAAGATAAAATGTTATGAGCTTTCTCATGTGCACATCCTTATTCTTGCCCCAAAGATCTTGACTCTAGGAATAACCAGAAAAAGATTTTAAGAGACAGTCTTCAAAGTCTGATAAGTTCTATTTGTAATCTTCAAAGGTTTATCATGAGGTAAACAGCTGGAGTTCATCTCTTCTGGCTTAGACATGACAAAATGCTAACCCAACCTTGGTTGGATCTGGACATTGGGAAAACAGCTAAGAGCACTGCAAGGACAACTGGGAAAATAGGGGCTCTTCTGCAGAACTGATAATTTTCGCAGAACTGACAATTTTCAAAACAAGTTGGAGCAATGGAGCCCACAAAGCCTCTGAATTGCTACTTGTCTGTTTCAGACTTCCAAGGCCAGTTCACCAATCAGCCTCCATCTCACTTCAAGCCTCTCTCCATTATCCTTGTTTTCCCACCTTTGACCACTGCCTGAAAATTCCCTTCCTGCTAGTTTCAGAGGACAAAAGGCCCTGTAGATCAGACTCATAATTTTCTCATTAAAATGTCCGAAACCAGAATGCCGAGCCAGGTGCAATGGCTCACACCTGTAATCCCAACACTTTGGAAGGCTGAAGCTGGAGGATCACGAGGTCAGGAGTTTGAGACCAGCCTGAGCAACATGGCATTACTGTGCCTACAAAAAAAACTATCAGAATGCTTGAAATTGTTGCAGATGGAGTTGCTGGTAAAAGAAAAACAAAACAGAATGCCTAAAATTATCAAGTTTGAAGTTCCTAATACGTGTTTCAAAACACGGGGGTTTGGGGGATGTTCACACAATGTGTCCGGCTCAGATTTTGGACACTAGGACAACCTCCAGATTGCTCAATCACTAGATTCACATGTTGAAGCGGACCAGAGTCACTGGCTTGCTTCTAACCTTTAACAAATGTAATCAATGAGATAAGGGTGGTAGGGACTATTTCTCCTCCCAGGCTGGGCTTGCACTTTAGGAGGCCAAGGTGGGTAATTTTGAGGTCAGGAGTTGAGACCAGCCTGGACAAATAAGCGAGACCAGGTCTCTACAAAAATTAGGTGGGCATAGGGGTGTATGCCAGTAGTCCCAGCAACTAGTGAGGCTGAGGCGGGAAGATGGCTTGAGCCCAGGAGGCAGATGCAGGGAGCCACTTGTGCCACTGCACTCCAAGCCTGGTGACCAAGCTGTCTCAAGTATTCTCTTCCCGTTTTTACCCTGTATTCCTCTATTCAATCTCAGCTGCCACGATTAGACAGACGGAAAGCGCAAGGACATGTTTTTCTTGCATCTGTAGTGGAAACCTTAGCAGCAGACAGTAACTGCTCCAGGTCTGTTAAATAGATGCATTTTCATATTCATTATGACACCATCTTCTCAGATACAATATAAAGAACACTTTTACCCCTCTGCCCACCAGCCAGCCCACATTCTGTGTAACTTCATCTTTTAAATCGGGCTGGCAAACTTGCAGGCCCGTGTCAAGACACAACTCTGCTTGTGCAGTGAAAACAGCCATGGTCAATCCATAAATGAGTGAGCATAGCCATGTTCCAACAAAACTGGACACAAATTTAAATTCCATCCCACATGATATTTTCCCCTCTACCATTTAAAAATGCAGCCATCTTTAAGTGTACAAAACAGGTGGCTGGACAGGCTAGTTTGCCAGTCCCTGTTCTACCAGGGAGTTTAACATTCATCCCAAGAGACTTGGCTCTCTTTATGTTAAATAAGCTGAGACAAAGTTGCTTCCAACTGAATTAGTCTCTTTTTATTTTCTTGGTAATCTCCTCCAGTTACTACTTCCGTTGTAGATGATGAAATGGGTAAGGCTCCACTTCAGATGTTGGCACTGCTATGAGCATGGTCTTTCCCTTTATTGCAACTCACAATCAAAACCTTTGATTCTTTTTTTATGTTCCAGTCCCAGAAGTAGTTTCCACTGCAGAGGTTAACTGATGAGTCTTATTCTTTCTAGCAGTAGCTTACAACCAGGCTCTAGCTTCTCCACGAACACTACAGGATGAATTTAGTTTAAATATGTATTAAACTAAAAGGCATTCTCTCAAATGAGTTTAAATGCATTTTATTTTTAGAGAACCTACATGACATGTTTTTCTTAAAAACAATGCCTCCACTCCAAATAAATCACGGTCAAAATAAATGAAGATCTCAAGATGACATCAGTCCCATTTGTCTTAAGTCCTGGTGTGTGGATGACAAGCAGAAGCCAGTTATGATGACAGGTGATAGATCCAAAATAATTGCCAAATTTGTTACTGTAAAAACAAAAATTACATTACCATTCTTCAAACACGACATAACAAAAATTACATTACCACAAACATGTAAGCCTACATTTCTAGGCGATAGATGTATTCCCCAATTCAATCTGGGCCGCCACAAAGACAGACAGAAAGCGCAGGGATTTCTTTCTTTTGCATCCTAGTGCAAACCAAAAGAACAACAGCCAATTGTTCAAGGTCTATCAGTGGATGCAGAAAACCCTTACCAAATCAGCAGTAGCTCATTTTCCAGAAGTCTGTGGCATGTGACACCCACACCCTGCTCTACCAACAAAAACCTCAGATACCATCTGAATAACTCCTTTGGTAAGTCATCTTATACAGTTCTAAGTAATTTCTGTCTATTGTTGACTCTAATCTCGCTTGTTCACTATAGTATCTTCTTCCTAATTTATACAGAAGCCTATGAAAGCTAGGATAATGAATGCCTCAGTTTCTGTACAGCTTCCAGAAGTTCCCTGGATAGCAGACATTCAGTTATTTATATTTACTAACACAATTTGCATACCAGTTCAGCAGTCAGCACTATTTACTAAAAGCTAGTACTGGCAGTAGACTTTCAATAATCAGCTGCCAATTAACAGTAAACCAAAGTAAAAAACACGGATACGAATTAATCCTTATGTATATAGCAAAACATGATGAACTGAAAGTAAGGCCTACCTGTGAGGTCTATCTAGAGGAAAATCAATGGTGTTCTCCATCTTCCTCAGCATTTAAACTGTATTTTTTGGAGACAGAACCTCATTCTGTCGCCTGGGCTCCAGTGCAGTGGTGGGATCTAAGCTCACTGCAACCCTCCCAAGTTCTCCTGCCTCAGCCTCCTGAGTGGCTGGGATTACAGATGCCTGCCACCATGCCTGGCTAATTTTTTTGTTTTTCTGGTCTCAACTCCTGACCTCAGGTGATCCACCCACGTTGGTGTCCCAAAGTGCTGGGATTAGACGTGTGAGCCACCACGCCCTGCCTAAACTGTACTTTATAATGCCCATCTGCACTCAAGTGTTTCCACATATAAGATTCTAAGCCTTTTTATACCTTAAGAATCTTTTACACGGGAAACATTCTATCCCAGTGGCACAAAACAACTGGAATCACATCTAACATATCTTTATTTTTTACACTACTGATTTTAACCCACTCCTTTGTACTTACACATTTTTCCATTTCTAAACCATCCTTAAAGAAAATCATATATGGGGTCACACCATCTTCACGGTAGTCCAATAGAGCAACCATGCCATCTGGATTCATGTTTTCACCAATAAAGAACTTGGGAAGCAAACAAAATACCTAGAATTAGACCATTACAAACAAATACATGCCATTCTAAACTAACTACAGTACAAAATCAGGAGAATTCCAGTATCCAAAAGCTCTGATACTCACTTACCATAATCATTTGTTCACTCAATTAGGCACCTTAATAGTGACCTAAATAAGAGTACAAAGCAATACAGGAACACTAGGCTTTATGGAAACCTTTACTTTCTCAGACCCTAAAGTGTGCTTATATAGTCAAGCACAATTGCAACATAAGGCTGTCAGTGATGGAATATATCATACAGTTTGGAAGCATGTTATGGCCAGGGGATGCATGAAGTTGGATAATTAGAGGTAAACGAAAGCCACTGACATTTTCCAGAAGTAGAACAAGTTCAGATACATCAGGAGGACCAGTAGCAATAAGACACATTAGAATTGTAAACAGAAAGCTGAACACTCAGGAAGTTAAGCAATTTTTGAGGAGGAAGAAATGTCATCTGGGAAAGAAGTTTTCCATCAGAAGGCAGGATGTGAAAACACTTGAGAGCTGAGAAAGCTACTTTCTACACCTGGAATACTAGTATAGAATTGAAATTAACGAATTTAATTTTTGCTCTTGCAGTTAATTGTACAATCCTTTGATCCAAATACTTAAGGCATTTACCTGGTAGTTTTTGAAATTAGCAAGGATGTGCTTGATTTGTTCTGCAGCCCCTGTCATAAAAGGTTTTACTCTTTCTGGTCTCTGTTCTTCAAGTTTGCCTTTGATTCTAAAACAACATTTCATTAACTGGTTAAATTATTGAATTTTCAGTAAAATCAATTTTTAAAGTAAAAAAATACCCAAGCTTAAAAAAAATAAAAACATTGAAAAAGGCAACCAGCTGTTAAGAAATTACTAATTCACAGCTGGGCGCGGTGGCTCAAGCCTGTAATCCCAGCACCTGTTCACGTAAGTTATCTTTCAAGAATGTTAACATTTCTGACATTTCTTGACTATTTTCAAGGAACTATTCTAACTCTAAACGGAACCAGACTGCAGGCTTCAGTATGCTCACAAAGAAAAGCAACCACTCTTGTCACTGAAATCATTAATAAAAAAGGCAAGTATATTCACTGCTCAAAAGAACCTCAAAAGTTACCCCATCTTTAAATCCCTTAAGATTCTAGACATCAGCTAGGTGCTGCCAGTTATCACTTACGATTTCATGTAATCTTTGATGTACTTCTTGTAGGCTTCTTTTGTGAAACTTGTTTCCTGCAGGTGATGGTTCATGACAATATCGACACCAGTGATTACTGTGCTTTCGGTACCTTCGCCCTCGGGGCCTTCTGCGGAGGCATTTCCACCAATGAGCGAGTCATCAATGTTACCTTCTGTCCTACTGACCATCTGCATTAACAAAAGGCAGTATAGTTGCAAAAGATACGAACGCATCTTCAAAGCACCTTCCACACCAATACTTAAGATTCTTAGCTCTTGATGAAAATCAAAAAAGCACCATTTTGGGAATAAAGTTGTGACCTGTGGATTTCCCGAAACGACCTAACTTAAAAAAGAGTTGTCCGTTGCTGGCCAGAACAAAATGGGATCATTAAAAAGTTGTTTCCAGTTGCGGGCATCGAGTGCCTCGAGTTGGTAAGTAAGGGCAGGGTAAACACGAAAGGGATTGGGCTCCTAAACCGGAGACAGCGTGTCCCGGACAACCCCGGGAGGAGGATGGGCGCCGAGGCGGCGGGCCTATTTCCAGGCTCAGCTCCACCTCCAGTTTTCTAGAAAAACCCGAGCCCGGAAAGAGCGTCTCCTCCGCCAGGAGGCGGCGGGGAGGATTGCACAACCTCAGGCGGGGGAGCTGCGGAAACCCGAGCCTGCCCGGCGCGGCCCGCCCCGACCTCCCCCACGCGCAGGCCCGACCGACTCACCTTCCCCTCCACCTCCAGGCACAGCCCGTCCGCGATCTCCCGGATCTTGTAGATGTCAGAGAACATCTCATCATCTGTCGAACACACAGAGTCGCCCGTCACCGCAGGCCCCGAGCCGGCGCCGCCATTTCCCGCATTTCCCGCGCCGGCGGCCGCACGCGGCGTCCACCCCTCGCGAGGGCTCCAGAGCCGAGCGCGAGCCCCAGTATCGATCCCTGCGCACTCGGTTAAGGTCGCCGGCATCCCCTAGGCCCGGACGGCTGCGCTTTCCCCACCCCCCACCCGCACCCAAGGACCCCGTGTGCGCCAGTAAGGGTACTGCAGGGAGGACTCACGGCTGATGAGATCCCGGTAGATAATCATGATGGTGGCTGACGGGAGAGGACGGCGGCGCTAGCTTAGCAGGAGCCCGAAGCTCGGAGCGAGCGCTGTGCAGCCGGAGCGGCGCTAGGGGGGAGGGGGGAGCGGGCGGAAAAGGCCGACTCAGCCGCTCCCCAACCTCATATAGAGGGCACGTCTCTTACGTCATCGTTCGCTGCGCCTCCGGAAGCGACGCAGCGGTGACGTGGCACGCAGAGCCGCGCGGGGGCGGGGCCACAGCGGGGGCGAGTTGGGGAAGCGAGCATCCGGGGACTTGAGGTGGAGACACAAGACTGTTCCACTGGGCACGCGAGGTGGTGGGGATGGGGGCGGGGAGGTGCGCGCGCAGCCGGGGAGGAGGTACGCTCTCGGGCACTCCCGAGCCATGGGTGGGCGGAGCAGGGGAAGTGGGGTCTGATAGGCCCGGGCCCTCCCCACCCACGGGGCCATCCGGAGAGGTGCTGGGGCTTGGGTGGGGCTTAGATGAAATCTCTTTAAACTTTCTCCCTACGCCTCGTTCAGCCTAGATTCCACCGTTTTCTGGGAACCAGAGTTTCAACAGATGTAGGGGAACATTTCGTTTAGGGAGGGTTATACTCTTTGGCTTGGCGGAGACCTCGGAGCTGCCCAGGGCCTCAGAACTTTTCAGCCTCTGCCCCGGGGCCGCCCCAGCTGGAGTTTTCGGATGCCTTTGTTGGGGCACAGCTGAGTCCGGGTAGTGGGACCCAAGTCATCCCGCTCGGGCCCTGGGGAATAATTGTGAAGGCGCAGGGTCTGTGGGAGGGGACTTGGGGAGAAGGGAAGCTGTCACGGGAGATTGCACAAGGTTTCCATGTGTTCCAGTTTTGCCCCACAATTGAAAGCTTGTGGCATTCTGTGGCGGACAGCTACAGAGCTAGCTCTTCCCTTTACTGTTTCGCACTTGGTCTTTGAAAAGTACGTTGTCACTTTAAGATGAAGTTGAAATTTTATCCCTGGTGCTAGAGGGTCAAACAAAGGGAGTTTCTCACCTGCCCCATCTTTCTTCCAAGGAGTTTACACCCAATTACTAAGTATTAAAACAGGCCCAGCATGGTAGCTCATGCCTGTAATCCCAGCACTTTGGGAGGCAACTACTGAAACCTGTCTCTACACAGAAACAAAATTTTTAAATTAACTGGTGCGGTGATGACTGCCTGTAATACCAGCTATTAGGGAGGCTGAGCTCGGAGGATCGCTTGAGTCCGGGAGTTGGAGGTTACACTGAGCTATGATTGCACCGCTGCACTCCAGCCTGGATGATAGAGCAAGACTGGCTCAAAAACAAAACATAACTTCCTTATTTAGTCGCATCCTCACGTCTTTGGCATAAGGCAAAGATGTATGCCAGTATGAAGTGTGAAAGCTTGTTCCATTTCACAGGTATTTTGGGCTCTGTATCCCTTAGAACTAGGATTTGCACTGAGGTCCCAATTGTGAACAAGTTCGATCCAGTCTTACTCTCATAAAAGTGTTCATTCTAGTAAACTCAAAGCATCCGGCAATTATAATACATCAACAGTTGTTCATAAAGCCAATAATATAGCATTTAGCTGACTAAGAATGCAACCCTTGGGAAAGAGCAGGACACAGGATGGCGATTGGAATGATGGAGAAGCCAAATGGAAGAGCCACGAAATGGACCTCCTTAAGATAGGAATCTTGGATGGAAAACTCCAGAGGACATTGGGCGACTGGGAGGAAGCTAAAAATGGGATCTGAAAATAAAGGGATATCTTCTGACACATGGTCAGTGAAGGCTGTCTGAAACCTCTTATTTATGGAATGAATGAGATGATTATCACACATTAATATTGTGTGAACATATCTTTTTCCTGATGTAGCACAGTATAATTAATTTCCTCAGTTTTAATATTTCCAAACTATTCAGAAATACTGTCATTGATCCATGCAGTACCCTCAAACATTACTCTCAACTATCCAGTCTCATATTAAGGTCAAAACATTTCTTCAAGTTTTTTTTTTTTTTAATTATTTTTTCCAAGCCAAACTGTATCCAGCTTTATTAAAGATACTTTCCATAAACAATCATGGTATTTCAGGCAGGACATGGGCAGACAATCGTTAACAGTATACAACAACTTTCAAACTCCCTTCTTTGATAGACTACCAAAAATCAGAAAGCCACTATAAAACCCAATGAAATCTTCATCTGATGCTCTGAACAGGGAAAGTTTAGAGTGAAGGTTGACATTTCACATTTAGCATATTGTTTAACAACTTTTCACGAGCCGACCCTGACTTTCAGGAAGTGAAATGAAAATGGCAGAATTTATCTGAAGAGCCACAATCTAGAAATGGAATCACTGCTCTTTTGACAGGTGCCATCTCAGTGGCATCACTGGCAAGTCCAGATTGCCTGACCCACTGGTAACCAATGACTGGGGGTCAGGTCCCAACAGATGTCTGGGCTTAAGGGAGCTAAGTCTATGCTGAAAGATGGAAAGGGAGAAGAGGACATAAAAATGAATTTGTTTTTCCATGCCACAAGGCTTTTGTGTGCCAAGGGGTCCATGTGTGTCAAAGTCAGGGAATCCCTCCTCCTGGGAGCCAAGAGGAAGTCTCTCAAAACTGGAAGGATAAGGCGTTTCCCCACATCAATCCAGCTTTGGAGACATTCTATTAGTGACATATGCCCCTTCCCCCAAAACAACAATGAAGTGTTCTGTGTGCTAACAACATAGCTTAAAAAAATAAAAAAAGTCAAACAAAATTCTGCATTTTTATAAAACTTGATAAAAAATAGTATTTCAAACTGTACAGTCACCAGAAGTACACAGTTATCAAAAATACACACCCTTCACTTGGCATCTCCAGCACCGTCGGCCTTCTGTGCCCGGTCTGTTTTGGCCTCTCCATTTTCTGCGGGGTTATTCCCTTCCTTGCCAGCATCAGCTTTTCCCTTTTTCCCTTTGGGTACCTTCTCTCCCTTCTTTGCAAGGACCTTTTTAGGCTTGGGCTCTGGCTTTGGAAGAGCAGGTTTAGCAGACAACCTCTCGGATCTTCTCTGTGGTTCGTCCTTCACCTTGGCTTTGTCTCTTTCAGCATCCCCTTCAGCCTTTCTCTTGGGCACGGTGGCGACGGTGGCGGGACGTAGGCGCTGGGCGCGGGATGCAGTGGCGCGTGGGCTTTAGTTGGTCCAGGGGTCGTTCTCGTCTTCTTCACACTGCTCTCAAGTTTTATAAAAATATAGTAGTGGTGAAAAAATGTACTAAAGCTAGAGTCAAGGCACCTTAGATTAAAATCTTGCCTTTGGCCAGGAGCAGTGGTTCACACCTGTAATCCCAGCACTTTGGGAGGCCGAGGCAGGTGGATCACCTGAGGTCAAGAGTTCAAGACCAGCCTGGCCAACACAGTGAAACTTCATCTCTGCTAAAAATATGGAAATTAGCCGACCTTGGTGGTGAGCACCTGTAATCCCAGCTACTCAGGAGGCTAAGGCAGGAGAATCACTTGAACCCCGTAGGCGGAGGGTGCAGTGAACCGAGGTCGTGCCACTGCTTGGGCAAGGGAGTGAGACTCTGTCTCAAACAACAACAACAAAAACTTTATTGCTAAAATTGCAGGCTCTGAAAATAAAAGATCTTGAACGCCCACCCCACAAGAATAAACAGACAGTTGAGACACAATTTAGTGAACAGCAAAGAACTTTATTTAAAATGAAATAAGCTAGAATAGAAAAGAAAAATCACATATAAAGGTGAATCACAGTAAAGGTGAGTATTATTTTGTGAAACTTGTTTTTTTATTATTTTTTTTATTTTTTGAGACTGAGTCTCGCTCTGTTGCCCAGGCTGAAGGGCAGTGGGACCATCTTGGCTCACTGCAACCTCCACCTCCCTGGTTCACGCAATTCCCCTGCCTCAGCCTCCCGAGTAGCTGGAATTACAGGCACACGCCACCATGCCCTTGTAATTTTTTTTGTATTTTAATAGAGATGGCGTTTCACCATGGACTGGTCTTAAATTCCTGACCCCGGGCAATTCGCCTGCCTTGGCCTCCCAAAGTGCTGGGATTACAGGCTTGAGCCACCACGCCCAGCCAAGTTAAGCATTTTGAAATCCATTGACTTGGGCAAATTTTCTTTTCAAATATATTACTTGGCAGCATAAACTGTTCAATTTCAGCAAATGATTTTTTTAAATGACCCCAATATTTTGTAAATACTTATATTTGACTCTAGCTCATTTGAACAATTTTTGCCAGGAAGAGAAAACAGCCCCTGGAGATCTGGCATACTGTGTAAGGCCTAGAGAAGTGTGATCATTCTGACCCTCTATTAGCAAGAACCTGCTCAACTGTCAGGTCTTGGAAGTAAGTCGAGGCAACTGCAGGAGGGCTGCATGGCTAGAAAGAAATGGCTGAAAACAGCCTGGGCAAGCTGGCTCATACCTGTGATCCCAGCACTTTGGGAGGTGAAGGCGGGCAGATCACTTGAGGTCAGGAGTTTGAGACCAGCCTGGCCAACATGTTGAAACTTCATCTCTACTGAAAATAATAAAATTAGCCAGGCATGGTGGCAGGCGCCTGTAGTCCCAGGTATTCTGGTGTTTGAGGCCTGAGAATTGCTTGAACCTGGAAGGTGGAGGTTGGAGTGAGTCGAGATTGCCCCACTGTACTTCAGCTTGGGTGACAGAGTGAGATTCTGTCTCAAAAAAAAAAAGAAATTGCAGAAATATATTTTCTCCCTTTCCTTTTTCACTACTGTCCTTGACTAGTTAAAAGGAAAAAAAGCCAGGTTCCGTGGCTCATGCCTATAATCCCAACGCTTTGGGAAGCCAAGGTGGGAGGCACACTTGAGGCCAAGAGTTTGAGACTAGTCTGGGCAACATAGCGAGACCCCCATCTCTATGGGAAAAAAATTGTTGGCCGGGCACGGTGGCTCACACCTGTAATCCCAGCACTTTGGGAGGCTGAGGCAGGTGGATCACCTGAGGTCAGAAGTTCGAGACCAGCTTGGACAACATGGTGAAACCCCGTCTCTACTAAAAATACAAAAGTTAGCTGGACGTCGTGGCGGGCGCCTATAATCCCAGCTATTTGCTGAGGCAGGAGAATCACTTGAACCCAGGAGGCAGAGGGTGCAGTGAGCCAAGATCACGCCATTGTATTCCAACCTGGGCAACAGAGCAAGACTGTGTTTCAAAAAAAAAAATCATTGAAAACACCTCCTTTTTCTCTTCCTCTGAAAAATAAGCTACTGTATATAGAAACAAAAGGCATAGACTTAGCTCAGATTGCCACCCTCTCCACAAGCCATCCTTGACCATCATGTTTAAAATGACAATCCTTGCCTCTTGGAAATCCCTGTTTTTTGTTTTGTTTTTTTTCCTGTTGAGATGGGATCTTATTCTGTTGTCCAGGCTGCGAAATGGCGCAATCACAGCTCACTGCAGCCTCCGCCTCCCTCCTCAGCCTCCCAAGTAGCTGGGACTACAGACACGTGCCACCATGCCTGGCTAATTTTTCTATTTTTAGTAAAGTCAGGGTTTCACCATGTTGCCCAGGCTGGTCTTGCACTCCTGGCCTCAAGTGATCTGCCCACCTCGGCCTTTGAAAGTGCTGGGATTACAGGCATGAGCCACCATGCCTGGCTCTTCTTTTCTCCCTAATTTTTCTTTGTGGGACTAATCATTAACCAACATGTTATTTCTTTATTTTTTTTATTATTATTTTTTAAAGATGGGGTTTCACCATATTGGTCAGACTGGTCTTGAACTCCTGACCTCAGGTGATCCACCCACCTCAGCCTCCCAAAGTGCTGGGATTACAGGCATGAGCCACCGCACCTGGCAACATGTTATTTCTTATACTTACTTAATTTTCTGTCTCCCCTCCAGACAATGTAAGTGCCATGGAGGTAGAGAGAGGCTTTATGCTCACAGTTGTATTCCCAGTGCATGAAACCGTGCCTGTGGCCGGGTGCAGTGGCTCATGCCTGTAATCCCAGCACTTTTGGGAGGCTGGGATAGTCAAATCACTTCAGATCAGGAGTTCAAGAACAGCCTGGGCAACATGGCAAAACCCAGTCTCTACTAAAAATACAAAAAATTAGCCAAGCCTGGTGGCATGTGCCTGTAATCCCAGCTATTCCAGAGGCTGAGGCACAATAATCCTTGAACCTGGTAAGTGGAGGTTGCAGTGAACCAAGATCGTGCCACTGCACTACCAGCCTGTGTGACAGAGTGAGACTCGTCTCAAAAACAAAAAGAAAAAAAGGGCCAGGCATGGTGATTCATGCCAGTAATCCCAGCACTTTGGGAGGCTGAGGCGGGCAGATCACGAGATCAGGAGTTCAAGACCAGTCTGACCAATATGGTGAAACACTGTCTCTACTAAAAATATGAAAATTAGCAGGGCATGGTGGTGTGTGCCGGTAGTCCCAGCTACTCGGGAGGCTGAGGCAGGAGAATTGCTTGAACCTGGGAGGCGGAGGTTGCAGTGAACCGAGATTGCACCACTGTATTCCAGCCTAGGTGACAGAGTGAGACTCCATCTCAAAAAAAAAGAAAAAAGAAACAGTGCCTAGTAGACAGCCAGTCAATAATTGTCAAATGAATGAACTGCAGACCAAGACTAATGTTAGTAACTAAGGTTGGTTTTGTACCATGTTCCAACACAGCAACACTCTGAGTTAGTCAAGCTTGTGTAATCAGGTTTTCTGACTTTTTTTTGCAGTACCATTGACTGAAAAATAAAGATGGATGAACAATAGCTAGTGGCCAGAAGATGCTGTTTGGTAAGTTAACATAGAAAAGAGGCTGAGTGTGGTGGCTCACACCTGTAATCCCAGCACTTTGGGAGGCCAAGGTGGGCGGATCACCTGAAGTCAGGAGTTTGAGACCAGCCTGGCTAACATAGTGAAACCCCGTCCCTACTAAAAATACAAAAATTAGCCAGGCGTAGTGGCATGCACCTGTAGTCCCAGCTACTTGGGAGGCTAAGGCAGGAGATTCGCTTGAACCCAGGAAGTGGAGGTTGCAGTGAGCTGACATCATGCCACTGCACTCCAGCCTAGATGACAGAGTGAGTCTTCGTCTCAAAAAAAAAAAAAAAAAACCCAAAACCAAAAAACAAACAAACATGGAAAAGAGCTCTCTCTTCCCTGGGAGGAGGAAAAGTGGCCTAAGACATAGTTAAATCAAAAAGCAAGTCATAGAACAGCACAACATGTTCAGTACTCCTTTATTTATCACCCAGATAAATATGAGAAAAATCAATATACTGCTCTAGATATGTGTATATATTTACAAAAGCAGACATGAGAATCTAGAAGGGTATGTATCAAACTAATAACAGTGGCTAATTCTGGGAGGCAGCTGGGGAAAAGTGAGTGGTCAAAGGGAACTACAGCATTAATTGTGATGCTTGCATATTTGCCCCAATAATGTTTCACATTTAATATCCAAAATGTTCTTTTTCTCATAGATACCAAATATAATAATGCAAATAAGGTATGGGGAAGTATGTATATTATATAGAGACAATATATAAGTAAAATGCACTAAAGAAATAAGCATATATACCCAAAACAAGCAAAGGGTGGGCCACGTCTAAATTGGCCCAGCGCAGTGGCTCAGGCCTGTAATCCCAGCACTTTGGGAGGCTGAGGCAAGAGGATAGCTTGAGCCCAGGGTTTCAAGAATGTAGCAAGACCCACCTCTACTTTTTTTTCTTCCTGAGAGTCTTGCCCTGTTGCCCAGGCTGGAGTGCAGTGGTGTGATCTCAGCTCACTGCATCCTCCACCTCCCCAGTTCAAGCAATTCTCCTGCTTCAGCCTCCTAGGTAGTTGGGATGACAGGTGCATGCCACCATACCTGGCTAATTTTTTTATTTTTATTTTTGAGATGGAGTTTTGCTCTGTTGCCAGACTGGAGTGCAGTGGCGTGATCTCGGCACACTGCAACCTCTGCCTCCTGGGTTCAAACGATTCTCCTGCCTCAGCCTCCCAAGTAGCTGGGATTACAGGTACGCGCTACCACACCCAGCTAAGTTTTGTATTTTTAGTAGAGACGGGATTTCACCATCTTGACCAGGATGATATCAATCTCCTGACCTCGTGATCCACCCACCTCAGCCTCCCAAAGTGTTGGGATTACAGGTGTGAGCTACCGAGCCCAGCCTAATTTTTGTACTTTTAGTAGAGACGGGGTTTCACCATGTTGGCCAGGCTGGTTTTGAACTCCTGACCTCAAGTGATCTACCCGCCTTGGCATCCCAAAGTGTTTTGGGATTACAGGCGTGAGCCACGGCACCTGGCCAAGCCTTGTTCCTTAAATCCATCTAGTTTCAGCTTCTAGGGCTTTATGAACAGGGCAGCTTTTTTTTTTTTTTTTTTTTTTTTTTTTGAGATGGAGTTTCGCTCTTGTTACCCAGGCTGGAGTGCAATGGCACGATCTCGGCTCACCGCAACCTCCGCCTCCTGGGTTCAGGCAATTCTCCTGCCTCAGCCTCCTGAGTAGCTGGGATTACAGACACGCACCACCATGCCCAGCTAATGTTTTGTATTTTTAGTAGAGACGGGGTTTCACCATGTTGACCAGGATGGTCTCGATCTCTTGACCTCGTGATCCACCCGCCTCGGCCTCCCAAAGTGCTGGGATTACAGGCTTGAGCCACCGCGCCCGGCCTAGCTTTTGTTTTTAGTTGGAGAGTTGTTGCCAAATATTGGAGGAAATTATGAGAGTTAACGAACTAGCCTAGTCTACAGATAAGATAACAAAAACTTAAAAACAACACACAGGGTTATAGTTAATGACTGGCGAGTTAGAGTTTTTCCTTAGAAACAACCTTTTCTCTCTACAGTGCTCATATAGGAATCTGATTTAAAAACCTTTTGAGGCTAGGAAGCCAAACCAAGACAGCCTTTTTTTTTTGAGACATGGTCTCGCTCTGTTGCCCAGGCCACAGTGCAGTGGGACTGCAGCCTTAACTTCTAGGCTGAAGCCATCCTCCCACCTCAGCCTCCCAAGTAGCTAGGACTACAGGAGTGTGCCACGCCACCTAATTTAATTAATTATTTAATTATATTTATTATTATTTTTTTGAGATGGAGTCTCACTTTGTCGCCCAGCCTGGAGTGCAGTGGTGCGATCTCGGTCACTGCAACCTCTGCCTCCTGGGTTCAAGGGATTCTCCTGCCTCAACCTCCCAAGTGGCTGGAGTTACAGGTGCACACCACCACACCCAGCTAATTTTTGTATTTTTTAGTAGAGACGGGGTTTCGCCATGTTGGTC